TATACACGTTGGACATTATAGGACCTTGGTGCACATCATTTTGTTTTACGATCTGATTCAAGATGGCCGAATGGCGGCCATTTTTGTGCTAACAAATCATAAAAAGCAACCATTTCTCGGCTGTTTACTGATGGATTTTGCTCAAACTTGGTATATACATTAGACATTATGGGACCTTGATGCAAATAGTTTTGTTTTTCAGATAACATTCAAAATGGCCGACTGGCGGTCATTTTGTATTAATCAATGTGGTTCTCGTGCCATATCTCCAACTTGTTTTGACTGATTATGTTCAAATTTTAAATATTCATTATACATATTTGTATACACGTTGGACATTATAGGACCTTGATGCACATCATTTTGTTTTACGATCTGATTCAAGATGGCCGAATGGCGGCCATTTTTGTGCTAACAAATCATAAAAAGCAACCATTTCTCGGCTGTTTACTGATGGATTTTGCTCAAACTTGGTATATACATTAGACATTATGGGACCTTGATGCAAATAGTTTTGTTTTTCAGATAACATTCAAAATGGCCGACTGGCGGTCATTTTGTATTAATCAATGTGGTTCTCGTGCCATATCTCCAACTTGTTTTGACTGATTATGTTCAAATTGTAAATATTCATTATACATCATGTCATAGATATATTGGTTTGACGATCCTATTCAAAATGGCCGAATGGTTGTCATTTTTGTACTAAAAAATCATCAAATATCAAGCATTTCTGGCATTTATGGATGGATTTCGTTCAAACTTGGTACATACATTAGACATTACGGGTTCCTGATGCACGTCATTTTATTTTTCAGATTGGATTCAAAATAGCTGACTGGCGGCCATTTTGTTTTAATGATTGGGCTTCTAGAGCCATATCTCTTAAATGCTTTGACTGATTATATTCAAATTTTATATATTCGTTATACATCATGTTATATATATACTGTACATGTATTCAAAATGGCTGATTTTGAATGCTGTTCCAGAGCAATATCTCTCAATATGGACAAGTACTTGTTTGACGATCAGATACAAATATCAATCATTTTAATGTTAAAAAAATCATATTCCTGACATGGTTATATTCCAGCTATATTACTATAAACATAACTATATATCTTAAATTTGATAACTAACGGGGACTGTGCCATGCATTGAATATGTAACAGTCCTAAATACAGGACTACCATTGGAATACTTACTACAGTAAAAAATATATTTAGTTTCTTTTACGTAAGTGAAAAGGGGGTTGTACGGCCATCCTTATTGCGCAAAATAACATCTTTAGAGGACGACTCAACTGCAAATACCTATACCCCTCTGATTCCTCGGACAAGTTACGAATTGTTTGCCATTACATCATAACATAATTAAGTCGAACCAGAAAATTACTCCGACGAGATGTTGTTTTTATTCATGTCATATTACAGTGTATTATGTCCATACTATCAGAAACATAATCTAGAAATACCATGAACTTATATATTTTTACTGGTATAATATGTCCTTCTGTCATTATAGGATGCTGGACGCAGGCTTAATTGAATTCAGCTGAACTGGACACAATATTACATTAACACAACAAAATTGATAGGTAAATTCTAAATTCCAACAATCTCAAATTTTTGAGATTGACAAGACTTCGTCATATGTCACACATTCTTATTGTCAAAATACAAACTAAATATGTTACATATGCTCATACGTATTTATTTCATCCCTTTCACTAAAGACGAAAATATACTGTCTTCATCTTGTAATAGATTCGCAGGCGTGTCGTATTCCACTATTTTGCCATCACTCAACACGAGTATAGTGTCGGAATCCATGATCGTGGCAACGCGATGCTGAAATATAAGCGAATATTTCTTGATAATATGGCATACACTGTGTTTGATTACAAGAAAAACTTGAAAGTACGACATCCTCGAACGTTTATCGACCAACCAAGACATGAATATGCGTAGATGATATTGGTTCAGTGTTTAAGCATTTAAGGTGTGGGTGTACATACCGCTACTGTTATGACTGTTACACTGTTGAAAGAAGTGGCAACAACGGTCTGAAGAATGGCATCCTGTGGAAAATTATCACGTGTTATTTTGATGTTGATATTCAACGACATACTCTCAGGGCTCATATTCTTGTATATTCTCATGTCATATAATTTATAAACGCTACATTATCGCATACTTACTGTCTGCATATCAATCGAGGCAGTGGCTTCGTCCATAATTAAAATGCGAGCATTTCTCAGGAAAGCTCTAGCTAAACAAAATAACTGCCGCTGACCAACGCTGAAATTTTCTCCATTTTCGGCGACTTCGGCGTCTACAGAATTAAACAAACACACAAAATTGTGTTGACTTTTAATTGTTTTAATGTGTATGATACATGTGATAGAGGCGTGATTTTGCCTCCTGCTCCCCGCAGTTAAATGTTCCGATTTCCTGGAAACAATTTCTTACCGAGTTGGTTATCAAGTTCGGACACCGTTGGTTTTAACTGGGCAATTTCAAGTGCTTCCCACAATTGTGAATCCAACTTCTCCTCGAGTGGATCAAGATTGAACCTTGTAGTGTAAAAATAAAAAAAGAATTCTAGTTAATTAACGCACGCAACTGATGAATGCATGGATATGCTGAAACTTCACGTGATTACGATGCAAGTTTTATCAATTATTGCCAAATAATGGCGTATAATCTACCTGATAGTGCCAGAAAACAACACAGGATCCTGTGGTATAATAGCAATTCTGTTACGAAGAGTCAATAACGGAACTTGGGATATGTCAATACCATCGATAACAATACTACCTAGAAATGAACGTAAGATGCAATGCCACCAATGTAGCAAGTGAATATCACCTTGGTCGCCCAAAATGCACGGGGATTGTTTCCGGCTCAATGCACAAATACTAGTACACAGAAGTGAAGGAAATATTTCATAATCCGCCAGAGTAATTTCGTCAGCAAAGTATAATATATATATATATATATATATATATATATATATATATATATATATATATATATATATATATATTCAGTGACTTTGGAAAAAATATATAAATATTTGGCAATCACCTTTATAAGTATCTATGAGTCTGAACAAGGCAAGTGTAAGTGAAGATTTCCCGCTCCCAGTCCGTCCACAAATTCCAATCTAAACGAACACAAACACTCGTTACACATTCGTAGTAAGCGATGTATGATATACAATAGAGTAATTAACCCCTTCACGGTACAATCTGAAATATCAATCCGAGATCAGTGCAAATAATTTAGTTCCTAACACTTACCTTTTCTCCAGCTTTGAAATGCACTGTAATATCGCGTAAGACAGGTTCCAACTCTGCAGCATATCGGACGGATACGTCATTGAAGCGAACATCGCCGCTATCAGGCCACGCTAGCGGAGGTTTTTGATTCCCTAAAAAGCGAAAATACATTGGTATATATGTTGTATATATGTTGTCTTCTCAGTGACTCAATCAGCAAATGAAGTAATCTAATTACTGTTTGAAACTTATTTTATCAGATGGAGCCGACCAATGTAATTGTAACACGTGCATATAGTATATAATACTATTACATATAAGAATAATTACGCATGTCATTTGCTTTTTGAGTGTCGTCGATTCTCGCAAGCTAGACACTGACAGAAAAAAATGCAAGGGGTTGCAGGGGCAATTCAAGAAACAGAAAAAAATAACAGACAAGACTGCACTGCAAAATTGCACTGTTCACACTCTTCCAGCTACCCCATGATTTCAAATGTTTGACGTCTAACCAAATGGTTGATTTATTTATTCTTAAACTACCATTGCACTTGAATGACATTTGTCGATATATCGGGATATTTTAATTAAAATAAAAGACTCGGCACTGCCCTTTATTGCATGCATGAACTCACCGAAGACTACACCCGCGTAGCCAACCACTCACCTCTGTATGGTTCACTCGGTGTGTGCGTATAGTGCTTAACACGTTCCACGGCGTTCATTTGCATTTCACAATCAGCAACTTGACGAATCAACCAATTAAGATAACCAGCTATCTGAAGATATAGATTGTAGTATCGAATTAAAACGGCAATATCGACGACTTTTATTATTCGTTTTGATATATAGTTCGATATGGCATGTTGAAATTCACACAATTAAGATATATATTTTTTGAAACTGAAAGTGTTTTTTCGATGAAATAGCCAATCATGCAATTTCTCAATACGTACATATAATTCAACATACGCTATGAAGGTTTTCGATTGATCAAACGTAAACTATATAGTATGTAGTTCACGATATGCTAAATATAATAAATCATATAAATACCTGTAATGAATATGAGAGTGCTAAACCCACCAAACTTGGTTGAAGGCCACCAAGAATAGACGCTATCAAGGTACCAAGCCCGGACACAAGAACAATAAAAGCACCGACAAGATCCTACAAATAATACGAGCAGTAAGAATGATTTTTCTGATACGTGTTAACCAATTGTTTTTGAATAATGTGATTACGAATGGAGAAAACACTAAACATACTGAAATATATAACTCCTCCTTACTAGTCTTACGGCTAACCATCTGTTAACACTCAGTAAAAATAGAAATACGATATTATTTGTGTCGATTCTTTCAATTAGAACACGACGAAATCTTCTCTCATCTCTGTTGACAAAAAATAACAAAAATTGGAATGATCTATGCGAAGTTTACCTATTCACGATTAATAATAACATGTAAAAAAAAGCTGCATGGTTAATATTTTACAGGTGGTTGGTAAATAAATGTAAATTACCAAAGCGTAGATATACTAGGTATAACTTATTATGCTAATTTTTTTCATTTAAAAAAAGTTATTGAAATACAATTATATGTATGTACGGGAAAACGATGTTTGCGTATTAAGTGGGTATAAATAGATATGATTCAAAATAGAAACTTTCGGTTCAACTTTATTCCAAAGTAGCCGACAAGGTAGTGGAGGAAACTGTTTGAAATTTGTCACGGCACACACTTCAAGTAGAGGCCTACAAGTTGGCAAAGTTTTATAAGTACCGGATTAATCGTTTCTGAGACTTGGAAGACAAAATAATCTGTTACAGAAGAAGAAGTAAGTAAAGACACAACAAAACAATAGGCCTACAAGCTTTGTTGTAACCCTACTGATATACACACATGACATTTCTGAATACTCAATACACAGGCTGTACCTGTATGCTCTGATTGTGGACAATCCTCCCAACGTTTCAGAGAAGTGGGCGAATACTGGTGATTTGGTTATGCTGTCCAGACGCTGAAGTTCCCTGTGAAAACAGTTAAATGGGTTAACATTTTCCTTCAAGAATACAAACCGGCGATGAAGCATGCGTGTAAGTATCTTTTAAACTGAACTCCCACTTGAAGTGTATTGAGGCTGTTACATAGTGCGTCCCGATCTGTCTGGAAATACAAAGAGGTAGGCAGGCAAACACACGTACTGATATCAAGTCATCGACCAAAAGCGCAACATACACGATCCTACACCGATGTCACATGAACAAACAACAGTTTATTTTACCTGGAGGTGGTTATGAAGTAACTCTGGATGAAGTAGTAAATAACCAAAACAGGTACAACGAAGGCAATAAATATGGGTATCACTAGACTGTTCACTATCACAGCAGCAGCTATTTGAAATATGGTAATCAGAAGACCATTTACTGTTTGCCATATTTTCTACAATAAAAACACATTATTTGTCAGGTTTGTAATAAAACTGAAACATTACTGTAACTGTCTATCTGAAAAGTAAGTGATGTCATGCTATAATATCTTTCAACAAAATATGTCCTCCACTATTTATAGTATTAAAGGCTAACATTCCACCGCAGTGGATATTACGTGATGCGCCGTCCCTTGTATTATCAACTGAGTGGCTCATTGCATACTATATATGACCATATTTAGGCATCGAATTACGTGATTGCTCTATTACTTTCCATTGGCCTTGACATGACATTTTAATGTCAAATTCAGTAACAAAAAATCATGTTACTTTTCCTGTGTTTTGGGGGTTTGTGGCGTAATAATAAAAGTACAATAATATAAACAAACTGAAACAAAGCACTTTTAATGAAGCATTCGCCAAGTTTACTAATTTACGGTAGTCTGCATGAATCGGTATCTGTATCAATACTAGGCTTAAGGTTAGGCCTTATAGTTGCATAGCTAGGGAAACGTGATTGGTGACATTGAAATCTGATCCAGTCTTGTGAGTTATATGAAGAAATGTGCGTGTACATTTTAGGGGTGGTACTTATATCTATATCGCAAACAAACATCATGCATACAAATATTGGGATATCAACATTTGACTTTTTGTCTTTAAAATCCAAATGGGACTTTCGGGTCACGTGTATTTACATTGTGATGATAGTATCCATTTACCCCTTGGATATCTATTGCAAACAAGCACATATAACCTTAGACCTATTGAATATAACACGAGGGACACGTGTGCCAAGTTTAAAAGCATTTGATATTTATTGCGAAAACACATAGTGTGACATCAGGATTTGACTCTTTATCCCCAAAATGTAACCTGCTTTTCCCAATTCGAATATACATACATACATGCATACATACAGCACTGAGCGACCTACCTTTGCGCTAGCGTGTGTAATGAACGGACCCACACCGTCATATTGAATTCAGATTCAATTCTATGCCCTGTAGATCGCACAATGTATCGCATATAATCGACTCCTCGTCCAATATGACGCTTTTAGTGAATATATACAGTTATTTGACAGGCAATATTAAATTCCAACTTACTTGATCAATGATCATAGTGTCATTGGAGAATCTGTTGAGTATGCGACCTACGGGTGTTGTATCAAAGAACCTCATTGGCGCATCGATAATGCTACGGAGCAAGGAAATATGAATTCGTTTGGCAGCGAGCAGTGCTGATATGATCTGAGACGAGTTCCCAAGCACTCCTAATATAATGTATGCGATGGTCAGACCTGTATATCCTCCGATCCAATAACCAAGATCATCGCTGTCATTCTGTTAAAATGCAAAGTAAACAGGGAAATATTAAATGTTTCCAAAATTGTGTGCAATCAATAAAAACAATTTGGGGGCATATATATGTACAGGTATATATGTGAATTCACCTGCACTGTTCCATTGATTGTCACATTGGCTCCACTTTCAGACCATGCAGATAACCAGAAATTAGTCAATGTCAAAGCAGTCGTCTGACTCGCCCATAATGTAATTATAGTAAATACTATCGGTAGCTTGATGGCCTTGGCATAGGCTAGATAAATCTTCCACGACACAGACCCTCGTTCTCTCTCCTCTTCTTCTATAAGAGTCGTCCCAACTGATAATAGACAATAATAATACAATATTTTCTTCAAAAATATGATGCTAAATGGATAAAATGCGATGGGCTGTAAAAATCAGAGAAACACATCAAATTAAAATAACAAAAACAAGAAGTATGCCCATAACTATTCACTATAGACAGAACCTTTTTCCTGCTTTTTTCCTTCTTCAGAAATCATTGACACTTGTTTAATAAGTTCTTTTCGCTCTATAATAGTTAATTCTTCTTCAGTTTCACTCTCTTTTTCAGATTCGGTCTGCAGTACAATCGTTTCCTTCCAATTTCCATACAACTCTGGGTCATGGTTGGCAATCTCGTCAAGACTTCCCTGTCGGTAAATTTTGCCGCCATCCATGACAATGATCTGTATCATACAATGTTGTTATTATTCCCGCATATATAACCATTAAAATGGTGGACAGTGAAATGGGAATACAAATACATACTACAAACAATGCATCCATACGTATTTAAAAAAAAATAGAACACGCGACATAGTTCTTAAAGCTTTTAACTGAGAAGTAATGTAAGATGTAATAAAATATATGATAGCATGATATATATCGCTGGTTTTAATTATCGGTTTTTGGAATACCTACTTTTTTTTAAAGAATATCACCTATTTTTAAAGATGAAAACTATAAGACGTAAATATGTGTAATAGTTCAAGGATAATTAACCTGATTAGCATATTGCAAATACTGCAGCTGGTGTGATACTAAAATGACTGTCCTGTTCTCCTTCATCACAAATCCCAGAATTCCTTCGTGTATCACATGACGCCCGACGTGTACATCTAGAGCTGCTAATGGATCGTCCTGAAATTGAATCGAACATGGCGCTACATTGAATGTAAAAATATGCGCTCTTCGATTTATTTTCATATAGATAGAATAATTTCCTAACGAAATATAGCAATTAAACAGTGAAACAACTTGACTACGCTTACCAGTATCACGATGTCTGTTTGTCCATACATACATCTCGCCAAGCTAACACGCTGCTTCTGTCCTCCGCTTAAGTTGATGCCTTTCTCGCCAATCTCTGTCTTGTCACCCCCGGGTAATATATCTATGTCAGGTTGTAGGGCACAAGCCTCAATAACCTTGTTATATCTGGTTATGAGAGAAAAGAAATAATATCCCATTACGTAATCACACACAAGGACCGATTAATAACGTGCGGGCAATATACAAGCATAAAGTTGACTTCTACATATACATGTACCTGAAAGGTTATGTAAGGTGTATTGGGAGTTAAATAATAAACTAATTGCTAACTTACCTTTTTTTGTTAAATGGTTCGCCAAATAAAATATTATCTTTTAGGGTAGCATTCTGCAACCAAGCTTTCTGTGAGGCATATGCGACTTTGTTCTTTTTCCTGAAAGTAAAATCTAAACTGTAAATGCTTGTCTTTAAAATATACAACATGTGAATGCAAGGGGCACGCAAGTGTAGTACATACTTATTAAACAGAATGCTGCCTGATAGTGTCGTCATCTCGCCTAACATTGCTGACAATACAGAAGATTTCCCGCTACCCACCAAACCAACTATTAGCGTCAGTTTCTCTGTAATTAAACGAAACAATGTAATCGTAATAATATTAATATTTATATAATTCTGTTCATTGAAAGATCCGTCTCATATGTTGGCTTATTTTATGTAACGGATTTTACATTATAATGCAACTTTGAAATACAAGGATAAACTGTTACCTGCTGGGATTGTGAGGTTGATATCACTGATAGCTGCCACTGGATTATCAACATCCCATGAATATGAACCATTCTTTATCTGTGATTAAATGTACGTCTTTGATTTATTAGTTATTAATATATAATATTCATGACATGATATACGTAGGATTTATATTAAATATTGTTCATGAAGACTTGCACAAACATCGTGCACAGAGGCTTTCTTACCATAAGAGCTACGTTGTCAGAAAGTGTGTTTGCACGTTCAAAGTCCCCTAATGATGTTTCTTGATCGAACGTACCATAAGCTTCTTTGCTAGTACGTCCACCAGTCAGTAGTTTGTCATCGTCCTCGTCATCGGCAGGTACGAGGGTAACTTTTTCATATTTGAAAGGTTTCTTTTGTACCTTGGCGTCCTTACAATACAATGGATACAATTATTTAAATATCTCCATTTATTTTTACATTTGCCCGGGATGAGACTTTTTACAAAGAGGTGAATTTCATGAAAATAAATATCTAACAAATTACGAGTTAGCTTGATAAATTGTATGACCACCATTTTCCCAATCATGATGGATAATATCGGCAACATAGTTGAACAGAAAAGTGACATTTTCCGTGGTGTAAATAAAATAAATAAAAGTATCTTCCAGTATTTTACAATAATAACATATTATATCCTGTTCTGGTGCATTAGTATGCCTACCTAGTTCATAGTTTGAAATATGCGATGAACCTCTAAATATGGATATTTAAGAATACAAAACTCAAGTAACAGCCTTCTAACTAATTGATTTCATGATGCAATGTGCTAATAGTCTAGTCGTGGTTGTAATTATGGTTAACAGTGTTCATGATTCTCTGAACAAAGATATTTACAAGATATTATCAGTGTTGCCTAAACATTGGTTTCGCCACACCTTCTAAAAATGTCGACGACTAAGCAACAGTTCAACATTGTACGCCCAGTTTACACGTGTTACTGGTCGTCTCGGAATATCATTATAATGAATATCTGTGTTGTTTTTATGCCTAAAATCCTCTCAGAACGGAAGCAGCATTTGCTGTTTAATTCGTTCTTAATATAAAACTGAACTTTTTCTATTTGTGGTGTGTAATAAAACACCCCATATTTCACTGACATTATTTTAAAAAATAGCGATTATACAAATACGTGCATTTTTACATCACATGTGATTACCTCTTTACTGTCCACAAAATCGTCATCCTCGTCGTCGTCATATTCATCTCGGAATTGTTGCTCTGCTGAACATAACACATCACGACCATCGTGGTTTTCTTCGATCTCTGGAGCCACGAAAAACTTTTGTAATCGTCCAACACTGACAATAGCATTGACCGTGAAAGCTATTGTCATCGGGAGCAGATACAATGGTATTATGAGTTGTTGGAACAATGCCAGTGACGAGAATGCTAGTTCGGGTGTCAATGGCAAAGGGCTCACAAGCGAGTAAACTGCGAAAGACTGTACACAGAAGGAAATTATCGGAGGAGAAATAAATGATATGACACTTGTGAAAAAGGATGCTGTCAACCAATCAAGTTTGAAGTATTATACACATGGAACGTTATTCTGTATTTCTAATTTCTGAGACAAGCACTCTCAGAATGATCTCACTACTCCTTTATTAGACCGTTTTGCAAATGGTCGTC